GAATGGCTGCTTAACGTGTGCAGAATTCTCACTGCTGAATATTTGTATTTTAAATATATGATGTAAAGGCATGATTTGGAGCAATTTATAGAAAATTGTAATTATTAATTATTGTGTATGTGTGTATGTGTGTGTGGAGAGAGAGAGAGAGAGAGAGAGAGAGAGAGAGAGAGAGAGAGAGAGAGGTCGAGATTGAAAAAGAGTGCTATGTTTATAAATTTATATGTATTATTTAAAATATTTTATTGAACTATTATTTTAGTAATGAAAAGTCTAACAATTTATTTTTACCACTCTATGTGCCCTTGTGGCGCTTGGCTGAATGTAATATAATACAAGTACTAACAGATTATCTTAAAACGCAATATAATGATCAGGTAATACTAATTTCTACTCTAAAAAGCGAATTAATAAGTAAGGGTACGTTATAATCCTATTCATCTCACATCTATCTATATATATATAAAGCAATGTATGTGTGTGTGTGTCTGTGTGTGTGTCTGTTTGTGTGTCTTTAATGCATTACCACACCTCTTATCACATCGCCGTGAAAGTTTGGGAAGTTGTTGAAAATATTCCTGGGGATGTCTCTGCGAAAAATAAAATTCAAATTCGCACTTAAAATAGTGTATGTTTGAATAAGATGTATTAGGAAGATCTGCATGTAACATATTAACTCCCTGCAGGTCAAGGGTTATTCGAGACAAACATGCTGTGCTATTAAATATGTTGTGATCCTAAAACCCACAATTATTCGGCCTAGCGCACTCCTTTTAAATGCTTTAAAGTAAAAATCTGCTGAAGTTGACTGATATAGAAACACAAACGTGTCACGTTCAACTTGGCACATATTAAGCATGCGGCGAGTCATTACAGTGTCACTAATATGACACAATGTAATTATTGTTTCTTGCTGTTTATATGTGATTATATTTTTTTAAAATAGGAACTTGTCTAAAATACTTTGAATTAATTTTCCAAAAGATGCCACCTTCATTAAAATATTGCTACAGGAGAGGTGCAGCTCCTCTAATAATTTATTATTATATTAACTTGAATTCATATTATAAGAAGAGCTTATACTTTTTATAATACTATTAAAAAAACATTCATAGTGCAAATATACTTTTTGAAAAGTATTTTTCCCATGTTTTTAGCAAGAACAAGTACATTAAAATTATTTACATATGACAAAATCAGGCAAGCAATCGAAACACAGATAAACTATTGAATCTAGCTTTGTATATTTCTTTTAGTTCACTGGACTAGATTTTATAAATTATGCGTTTTGTAAAATATAATTTAAATAAGAACAAAAAGCGTAGGCCTACTTGTATTATTATAAAACAGCCATTACAGAATGTTGTTGTCTCAGTGTAAGTAGGTCGACAGTTGTTATTTTGATTGCCAGCTAAACACAACTGTACTGGCAGATTACTCTATCATATCTGTAGCTAAGAAATATCGTCTGCAGATTTATACTACGTGAATGAGAGGGGCTGGGGAGAGAAGGTAGCAGTAAGAAGAAACCGGATAATTTATAACATGATTCATGCAGGGATAGGCCTACCTGTTCTTAGAAGAATCCTATTTTATAGTAAAAACATAAAAGTGTGGTTAAATATAGAATTCAAGGAATGATTTGGTAAGCTATGTAGTGTTTTTTGAGAAGCAGTTTATATTGTCACGTTAAGATGTCTGGTATTGCAATATGTACACATAATAGTGTACCATAGAAGCCAAGATGATTGTAGCATCTTTGAAAAGCGACAACGGTATTTTCGTTCACTACGGCTCATTGAAAATAAAGATTTAACCTTCCTTCTTTTCTAAACATCTTCCAGACAAGCAAAAATATTGATACCTAAACATAATCAACTTCAAATGACAAACGGTAAGAAAAAGGGGTGCTGTGAAATATTTGAATGGTGTTATGTGGTACGCAATATTGTAAACTATATGCGTGTATGCGTGCGTAAGGGTGGGTGTGGGTGTGCGGGTGTATATGTGTAACCCTCCATTTTGTTTTGTGAGACGGTGTCGAGTCCGGGTTTGTTTTATGTAAACGTTGTTGTGCGGAATGAACAAGGGTAACATTAAAAGCCACTTGTTTAGAGACAGGGAGTATGTTAAAGGCGGGAGGAAAGAGGGATGTATTTAACAAACTAAGTGAACGGCAAAAAAGGATTGAGATTGAAATACATTAGAAGTATTATATTACGTTGTCCCTAAGAATTAGTTGTTATTAAAATTATTAAATCAACTTGATTCAAACTAACCTTAACTACTTGTGTCTACGTGTGTGTGATCAAAATACGCCCACATACAGAGATAGAGCGAGCGAGAGATCGAGGAAGGATAATAGGGACAGAGACAGAGAGAGAATAGAGACAGCTCCGAACCATTATAACCAGGGTCTCTCAATATATTTTTGAGACATTATATCGTAAAACAAGTTTACAAGAAAAATATTTACACAGACTGAGCTGTAAAATACCGCCAGACCTTTAAAAGAGTTTTCTATGGGGTATTTGCAATATTAGCGGCTCTAAACATTTGTCATTACACAGTAAAGAAACACTGCGGCCAGACTGCAAATGTCTATAGCCATGTAAGGTGTGATTTTTAACAAGCCAGAAGCTCTTAGCCGATAAAAAAGTTTCAGTATATATATATATATATATATATTTTAACTCTAATGTCAAGGCAGTTCTGCTGTATGGAGCAGAGATGGAGAGTCTCCAAGGCAAGCACAGCAAAGATACAGACCTTCATGAATAGATGCCTTAGACAGATACTGAAACTGAGATGGCAGGACAAAGTGCGGAACTTGGAACTATGGAGGAAAGCTAGGCAGGAGCCTTTGGGTGTGAAAATAAGAAGGAGGAAGTGGCGCTGGGTGGGTCACACACTGCGAAAGGCTCACACAAATGTTACACGCCAAGCGCTTGAGTGGAACCCACAGGGAAAGCGGAAGAGAGGGCGCCCAAGACAGACCTGGAGGCGGAGTCTTCTTGAAGAACTGAAGCCAATAGGGATGTCTTGGGAGATGTCAAAATTAATAGCCGAGGATAGGAAGAAATGGAAGGAAATGGTGGAGGCCCTATGCTCCATAAGGAGCAAAGAGGACTAATGAATGAATGATATATATATATATATATATATATATATATATATATATATATATATATATATATATATATATATATAGGCCCTATATATTTATACAACAACACATATACGTTTGGATTTATTTATTATTTTATTACACTGTTACATACTCTCTAGTGTGATGAAAAAAAGGAAGACCAGGCACAAATAATGACAGCCGTTTATGTGACTTTTTATTCCCTTATCGTTAGGGGCCCAGAATACTTTAAAATGCATCATGTGCAAGTTGTCTTAAAAGCAATTTTAGAAACGCCATGCAATGCTCATATAATCAATTACAAATAAAATTATATTTTACTACTAATAAGCCAAAACAAGCTAGATCAATTTCCAATATATAAAAGTAGACTCTTCATAATTGCAGTCGTGTAAAATATTTTAAAAGGCGTTAATTACGCTGTTATTGATTTGGTTTGGCAAGAGAAGTCATGCAAGATCCAAGCGAAACTCAATAATAACACCAAACATTGCAAGAGCAAACAATAATTTCTTCATCATTAAGAAGCTGTATTTCAGGACACAAAGAACCAGAACAGGGAACTGTAAACTCTACTCCAGACTCCGTAGGTATTTTTTTTTACTAAAATTCTTAACATAAATACTATAAATACGTAGATGCTCTAAACCACTAAATGTAATAGATGGTACAATGATTTTACCAATAAATTTATTATTGCGTATTGTGTGCCAAGCTGTTCGCTTTGTCTATCACAAGATTAAAGCAGACTATATGTAATTCTAACATGAATGTTAACTGTAATTTATGTATTTAATTGTACCAGACCATCTCCTAATGTTTATATTGTTTTTTTTTTTTTTTTGCAATTTCAGAAACCGAGGAACAAAATACGCTGAAACCTCTCTCTTCACTGACGCCTATTCCTTTCTTGGCTTGTGAATATTTAACATGTGAACAGAAATATACATGCATATCACCACAAACACAGACACATGCAAACATAAAAACATAGATGTACATGACATACACATACAAATAAGCGAATTTTCTTTAAAAAATTATTATATTTGACATACGCGCGCAATTTATCATGTAACAAGAATCTATATCTGTAATGACGAATTGAGTAAAGTGATCATAGATCCGTCACGTTAGATGTCTAAAATATTGTATATGTTTTAAATTAGGATCTACAGACTTCGATGTTCTCAACTGCATTGATCCTTCAGACACAGAATTTTCCGAGGGTAACTTGCTTCATGTTCTTGTTTTTCCAAAAAAAAAAAACGATATATCGATTATAATAAAAGTTACAATTTATGTTGTTTCGTTTTGTAAATTACTGCTTTATTGTCTATTTGGAATTTTGGTTTCAAATTAAAGAATAAAGATAAAAAAAAACCTGATTAAAATTACTATTTACAAAATTAACTGTATTGATGTATGAAACATACACATTTTATGGAAACAAAAAAAAACTTCCTTGTTTTTTATATGCACATATAAATATTATAAAACATTATAAAGTAAAAGAGCTGGTTCGTTCAGTGTTTAAAATGTACTAGACAGTATTTTTAAAAAAATGTTTAAAGTAGATTTACATAAATTTAAAAGAAAATTAATTAAAAATGTTGAGTATTACAATGCTAAATTAAGACCAAACTTGATTTTACTGTATTTTTACTTTTGATATAAACCCTCAAAAGTTACACTTACAGATCAAGATTTTGAAGATTATCAAGATTCAGCAAAGAAGACGTTGAAGATTTATAATAAAGAGATGATTAAATATCTAGATCCCCAAAAGGTTGCATCGCATTTACTTGCAGCTAAAGCTATTACACCGCAAGCTTTTGATGAAATTAAACAGATAGATTACCGGGAGAAAAGTTGTAAAAAACTGCTTGAAATAATTATGAAGAATGATTCTCAATGGCACTTTGACAAGGTCGTTTCAGCAATGAATCAGACGGGATGTAAACCTTTAGCTAAGAAAATGAAAGCAAGAGAAGGTAAATTATTTGAATTTTTTATATCATGCCAACTGCAGTAAAATAAATAACATACAAGTAATTTAATTCACCTTATATTATATAAAAGTTGATATTTTCTGTTTTATGATTATTTTTTTGCAGACCTGAGTAAAAAATTAAACTGTGAAAAAGTGTGGCATACAACACTAACTGAAAAAGACGCCAGTAGATATTCAACAGTTGTCGGGACTAACTGGGATCATCTTTTTATCCATTTGGACATTCCAATGACAGAAATTCAACAACAAAAGGAAACAAGTGGGAACAATATCCAAAGCACAATCACAAATCTATTAATTAAATGGCTCAAGCGCAAGCAGGCAGAGGCTACACATGGTAAACTTATAAAGACGTTACAAGTTATCGAAGAAGATAATCAAATAGAAATAGACTGGCCTAAAGTGAAAAAAATATTAAACACGATTTAATATTATGGAGGAGATACACTTAACCTAGTTCCCAAATAATGGTTGTTACTGCATAAATAATCTATTTCTACAAAACATTGATTCAAATAATCGTTTTGTAAAATCGATTTTTCTTGATTTTTTTCTATTTTTTTTAGTCTAATTTTCTATAATTCAAAAATGAATATACAATGAATATTACATGTTTTTGCTATCTATGATGAGCATAAGCATATATTCAATGCAATTAGGCGTTAAACATGATATAAAATTTACATTCTTGTCATATTTGAGATGTTTGCTTGTTTAGTTGATATATTGTAAAACAATTGGTTAAATCAAGCAGCTCATTAAAAAAAAATCTCAACTACAGGTGCTTAAATTACATTATAGTCGTTAAAATATATGTGCTGAAAATTTAAAAATGTAAAAAAAATCTTATTCCCTTGTACAATATCAATTAGTTTATTCAGCCCTCGGGGACAATAATTTGTACATTATTAATCTTGTTGTTTAAAGTATTTGAATGTCTCAGAACAGCTCTTTATCACAAACTTTAATACAGCACTTGACAATCCATTATACCGTCCTATACATTATATATATATATATATATATATATATATATATATATATATATATATATATATATATATATATATATGTAATTTTAGACCATGAGTGCAAGTTTTTTAGATTGTTTATCTAAAGAGTACAACATTCTTTGCTAATTATAATTGTTATGTATAAACTTCTTCATTTTAGAATAAAGTAGACTAAACGCTTTTATAATGGATAATTTTGTAAATAAATGTTAACACATATTACTTAATTGTGTTAGAGGTAATACCGTCCAATATAACAATTTAGAGCATATATATATATATATATATATATATATATATATATATATATATATATATATATATATATATATATATATATATATATATATATACTTGCTCAAAAGCCATTTATCCTAAGGCCATTTTCGTAAACGGACAAATGGGACAAATGCCCAAGATCATTAGTCCGAAAAAATATTAATATTATCTAATACCAAGAAGACATTGTTGATAAACCTGAATTTTACATATTGATAATTAACATAATTCCAAGCGTAACAAAAAATATATACATTACTAGGTAAATATTTACAATAAATTTGTATTTGCGTTATTGTTTTCTATTTAAGAAAAATAATGTCCTTTTTATCTCAGATTTAAAAAAAAAAATAATTATCGCTTTTAAACATTGTGTAAACAGGTTGCATTAAATGGAAATTAAACATCTGCGACTCAGCATGGTTTTTAAATTCGCCACATAGACTGTGCCTCATTCTTTTGTGAAATGATCAAAACACAGACTTAAAACGCTAAATTGTTCAACGTTTCGAGACGCCGCTTCTCCTAAACCAAATTATGACATTACCACCGCAACACGTCGGCCAAACAAGGTGCTCAAATCAGTAATTACAATTTTAAGAATAAAACGATTGGTTTTGTCCCAATAGGGCAAGTGTCCATTCGGGCGTTTGTCGAATTCGGGCAAGTGTCCATTCGGGCGTTTGTCGCATTCGGGCGTTTGTCGCATTCGGGCAAGTGTCCTTTCGGGCGTTTGTCGCATTCGGGCAAGAATTAGTATTACGGCAGACTTAAAATAAAACAGCTTTTTCAAAAAAGACTAATGCACTCACACACATTACATGTTGTTGTAATTTGTTTTAATTAAAAAAAACCAAGACATTTTCCCGATCAGGCCAGAACTGAGTATCCTATGTTCGTATATATATATATATATATATATATATATATATATATATATATATATATATATATATATATATATATATTACATATATACATATATACATATATACATATATATGGTTCCATGACAAACGATCTTAGACAAAATATCTCACAGACAAATGATCTCAGGTCAAATGAGACCATTTGTCTTTAAGATCATTAGTTCTGAGATCATTTATTTGTGAGATATTTTGTCTGCGGGACGTTCCTGTGTCCACCCAGCTCTGATGTTTTCATGTCTCACATTAAGGAGATAAAGGCTTATCCCCTGTATATCTAGTACATTGAAATTGACGAATCCTTCTTTATCTGTCCCCATGTCTTGTGTAGGCTACAAACAAGAAAGCATTATCACTATCTGTTGCGTCCTGGTTAGTTGCAACTCAAGAACAACTCGTGTTCACGTTCAATACGTTTATTCGGTCTCACATATTCACATTACAGCGTAGTCCTCGACCTAACCGCTACCAACTAACCCCTGACAATCATTCACTCCAGGTTTTATACAGCATTAGACCTTGGGATAACAATACATAAACACACCGGGGTTAACAATACTCTAGGGTAAACTCAACTCACACACGCACTCTCCTCTAATTCTAGATTATTCTATCCTATTCCTAATAACTACAAATACTGACTAACACATCCTAGCTAATTAAAAAAAAAGCCTTTCATTCGCATACACTAGTACACAAGTTAAAAATATACATTCCAAAGAATCTATATGACAGATTGTATATACAATGGAATACATAATGAAAATATACAGAACTGCTACCGACATGCATTATACATTAGACTACTAATCAGCCTCTTTAAAAACAAATACATCATTTGAATTTATCCACACATACAGACTGCTTCAATTTCGAGCTAGCACATAACATTCGTGTAAGTAACAAAAAAATAATCATACGCACCCAGTTGCAGCGTACCAAATCTTAGAACTTTCCACACCAAAATTGTTGAGTCTACCCTGTGCGCTCTCTGGCTACACTGGTTTATGACTCCTACCTATATCTCACCCATTCTACATTACAAAAATCTGAGTCTACCCTGTGACCAGATTTAAGCTTCGACTGGCGCGTTACCATATAGGCCTATCTAATATTGAAGGCTTAAAGGTGTCTGTCCAGTGTCTCAATGTTAAACCTAAGCCTTTTCCTTGCGTAGAGCATTCAGAGACAACTGATACTTACATCATTCCGTTTATAGTCTACGATGCATTGTCTGGCTAATACTATTCTAACCATTATACGATGCCTTAAATAGTAGATACTGTCGGAACATCTTTTTACAACACATCCTTCCCGTCAAAATGCCGTATAAAGATCTGTTGCTAAGTATAAAACAACAGTCAATAGGACAGGGACATTAAGCAGTGGCGGAACTAGAAAAAATGGGCCACCCCGCAAAAATATTTTTTGGGCCCCCCATATGTATATATATATATATATATATATGTATATATATATATATATATATATATATATATATATATATATATATATATATATATATATATATATATATATATAAACACACAATAAGAACATAGGATACTCATTTCTGGCCTGATCGGGTTTTGAAAAAAAAAATTCAATTAAATCTAATCACAACAACATGTCATGTGTATGAGTGCATTGGTCTGTTTTGAAAATCCCAATTTTCATTTATGTTTGCCTTAATACTTCTAATAACTAAGTCGGTCAAAAGTATATAAATCATGAAGCTTTGTATAAGAATGGTGTCTCGTGTTATGTTTATTTTTATGTTTTTTTTGTATTTATATTATTAGTTTTAACTACATTTCATTATTATACTATACCATTCTTTAGTACTTATTTTAAAAAAAATAATAATTAAGATAAGTAATTGCTGTTTGATTTGATTATTACAAATCTATTAAAAGGAGCTTATGAGCACCCCTATTTGGCTATTTGTAAAGGGGAAATAATTTATGGAAGTGGTTTGAACGTTTGCCTATCTTTCACACTACAGCTCATGTGTATATTTTAAATTTTTTTTTTTACGCAACAGCATGTCTTAGCTACTATATAATATCACTACTGTATTATATCTGTTATCTGTTTGTTATTTACAAAACTGTTTGTTATATATATATATATAACACGCAATAATTCGTGTATTTATTTGAGAGTTTGCCTTGTTTTCTAGATAGTGGTTTTTAAATCTACACAATGTCGGCACTTTATTTCTTGGATATTAGTTGTTGGAGCGCTAGTTTGTCAACACTACCACCGAATCGAGCCAGCTATGTTGTTGGAGCGCTAGTTTGTCTACACTACCACTGATACGAGCCAGCTTAGTTGTTGAGGCGCTATTTATTCGCTTCTTGTAAGGCTAAGAGCGGGAGGGGAGGTCTGAAAAGGAACTTAAAAGGGACAACAAAGCACCGATGTGCTTTTATCCATCAGAACCAAATTTGGGATGGTCTAAAAAAGCCGTCTTAATATCTAGCGGCCTCTCGCGCAATTGATGTTTTTTCAAAAGAAATTTGCCGACAACAGCGTGTGTTTGATTGTAGGAAAAAGAATATACAAGAGCGTGGGATGGTGTCTATAGAATAAAGATACTCCAACCGCAGCTACAGTATTCTTTTTTCAAAACAACCATCAAGTCAAAAATGCAAGAAAATTAATTTTAACTTAAAAAAAATGATTATGGGCGGCTGTGGGCCCCCTAAACGGCGTGCCCCCCCCCCCCGCATTGCGGGGTCTGGCGGCACTGTAGTTCCGCCCCTGACATTAAGATAGATGGTTTAGGCATGGCCTGAAAAAGAAGTATAGCATCTCGAGGCAAGCGTTAGATTTGAATCCTCATGGGAAAAGAAAAGTAGGCTGGCCAAAATAACGCTAGATGAGGGTAATTAAGGTAATTAAGGAAAGAAAAGGGCTGCTGGGCTGACGTCGAGTAAAGAGAGCTCCTCAACAGCGAGTCCGGAGGAGAGGTGTGCCTTCAGATGTTTGCTTGCTAGGGGCTCTTAAGGAACAAGTCAGTCAAGTTTAGTGGTAATCATGGCGATTAGAATTGGTTTTAGAATCAGGCTGTGAGTTAGTACTACAACGTTATAAAAGATGTAGTAATACACAAAGCTGAGTCATAAGGAAAAAAAAACTCATCAAACGATTTATTGATAAGATAAATACAAAAATATATTTTAAATTTTTAAATTATTATTTTTTTCTTGTTCAGATTCAACCTGGTTATATTGATGCTTGTCTGGATCCAATTGAAGTCGCTAAATTACAATAGATATGTCAAATTTATATTATTTTGTACTGGACCGGAGTGGCCTAGACAAGACCAGACCAGACTAGACCAGACCAGACCAGACCAGACAGACCAGACAGACCAGACAGACCAGACCAGACCAGACCAGACAGACCAGACCAGACCAGACCAGACAGACCAGATCAGACCAGACAGACCAGACAGACCAGACAGACCAGACCAGACCAGATCAGACCAGACCAGACCAGACAGACCAGACCAGACCAGACCAGACAGACCAGACCAGACCAGACCAGACAGACCAGACCAGACCAGACCAACCAGACCAACCAGACCAGACCAGACCAGACCAGACAGACCAGACAGACCAGACCAGACCAACCAGACCAACCAGACCAGACCAGACCAGACCAGACCAGACCAGACAGACCAGACCAGACCAGACCAGACAGACCAGACAGACCAGACAGACCAGACAGACCAGACAGACCAGACC